GGCTCAGGGAGCAGGGTTAGAGGCCGATACACTGCTCAAGGACCAGAATGAGGTCCTGAAAGCCCCTGGTCCTGAGATCGGGGTCTGGGCTCCCAGCCCTGGGATTAGAGAGGGACAGCAGGGCAGATGGATGGGAAACAGAAGATGGGAAGATACGCAAACCATGTCTGAGGCAGCTCAGGGGATCATATTAGAAGACCCCAGATTAGGGGCCCTGCAGAACACACGGTCATTTCCCACAGCTCAGGAGGCCAGAGGTCCAAGGAGGAAGCGTCAGTTGATTCAGAGTCTGGTGAGGACTCTTTTCCTGGCTTGCAGATGGCCTCCCTCTTGCTGTGTCCTCACATGGCCTCTAGGGACAGAGGGAGAGATCACATTCTATCCTGTTCTTCAAGGCCACCAACCCGAAGGGATTAGGATCCTAGTTTTATGACCTCATTTAATCTTAGTTATCTCCTAAAAGGCCTAGCTTCAAAAACAGGCACTTTGGGGGTGTTAGGGCTTCAAGGTATCAACTGCAGGGGGTGGGGGGAACCTGATTCAGTCCAGAGAAGGGTGGTTGCTCTAGGGGAAGGGACATTCTAGTTTGTCTTGACCACCGCCCCAGAGCTTGCAAGCATAAAAGAGAAAGGGAGACCCATCGCTATGTGCCCTCGAGTCACATTCCCTGGGTGACCCTAAAGGTCGCAGCATCTGCCTCAGGGGCTGTCACGAACACTGGTGGACCTCAGGGATAAGCTAGATGGTTTAAAGATTCATTTCCACATCTCTGATCACTGCTGACCAGAGGCAGAATCCAGTGATCCTTTTTGCTGGTGCTGCCAGCAAGTGCTCTGCCTATTTCCTCTGCTTTGAGCTTCTGGGGTCAGGAGAAGAGCGGGCAGTCAGAGGAGCCACCTCGCCCACTCTGTTCCTGGTAGCTACATCGTAATTACAAATGAATCAAAAGAGGACCTGGAAACACGCTAGCCTCCGCTTTCTCAAACATTTAGGAACAGGGGTTTGTGAGCTAGAGCTTCATTTATTTGAAACAACCTCCCTAGTAAGACACGCACTCAAGTTCAGCAAGTACTACAAATAGTTTATTTAAGTAGTATTTTTTTTTCCAATGCCTGTGTGGGCCCAGCACAGTAACATTTTGAATTGGCTTTAAACCTGGCAATCACTGATTGTTCATGCAACGTTGGAGACCTCATTTCTCTAAGCAGAGGTGTCCTCATCTATAAACTGAGGAAAGAATCTCAAGAACGTTAGAGATAGCATATATAAGAGTGCTTCAAAAACAACATCATACCCCAGACACAGGACACAAATTTATGAATACCAAAAGGCAAAGGGGGTGAGGAGGGATAAGTTAGGAGTTTGAAATTAGCAGATGCGTGTTGCTACATATAAAACAGATAACCAGCAAGGACCTATTATACAGCACAGGTAACTATACTTTGTAAAAACCTATAAAGGAAAAGAATCTGAAAAAGGATTTTATATATATATATATATATATACACATATATATATACATACACATACACATATATGTATATGTATGTATATACACACAAGGGCTTCCCAGTGGAAAAGAATCCGCCTGCCAATGCAGGAGACGCAAGAGATGCAGTTTCAAGCCCTGGGTCAGGAAAGCCCCTGGAGGAGGAAATGGCAACCCGCTTCAGTATTCTTGCCTGGAAAAATCCCATGGACAGAGGAGACTCCTGGGGTACAGTCTATAGGGTTGCCAAGAGCTGGACACGACTGAGTCACTGGTAACAATACACACACATATATATATAACTGAGTCACTTTGCTGTATATCTGAAACACTGTAAATCAACTATACTTCAATAAATTAAATAAAAAAGAAGACAGACTCTAAAAACAAATTTTGTACATACAAAATTGAATAGATGAAAATATTTAATATCTGTCTTATGCAGAAGGTGAATGGTAATCTTCATCCCCAAGGAGATCTTAGAAATAATAACAAAAAGGCAAGTATTTTGTAATAACATATAAAGGAAAAGAATCTGAAAAAGAACACACTCACACATATACTTGTGCTCTTGGCAGTGAAATCCTAACCACTGGACTGCCGGGGAAATCTCCGTACACCTGGAACTAACACAGAATTGTAGATCAACTACCTACCGATGTGAGAGTGTAAGTTACCCTATCGTGTCCAACTCTTTGTGACCTCATGGACTGTAGCCTGCCAGGCTCCTCTGTCCACGAAATTCTTGAGGCAATAATACTGGAGTGGGTAGCCATTCCCTTCTCCAGGGGATCTTCCCCACCCAGGGATTGAACCCTGGTCTCCTGCATTGCAGGCAGATTCTTTACTGTTTGAGCCACCAAGAAAGCCAAATCAACTACACCTCAATTTTAAAAAAGCACAAAAGTAAGTCAAATATCATTAAGAATAATCAGAATCATTCCTGACTTGGAGTTTTCACAGCCATCGAATGAAAGACAAATTATATGACACTTGTTATGGGTCCAATTGTTTCGCCATAAACATGTTGATGTCCTAACCCCCTGGTACCTGGAATTGTGACCTTATTTGGAAATAGGGTCTTTGTAGTTGATTAAGTTCCTATAAAAGGGGAAACCTGGCCCAGGGACAGACACGCAGAGAGAAGGTGATGTGAAGATACAAGGAGAAGACAGCCACCTGCAAGCCAAGAGACATCCAAAGCTACAGAAGCTAGGCAAGAGGCCTATAAAGACTTTGGTCTCTGCTGAGAAGGAAAGATGGAGACCCTGGGTACCACAGCTGGCTCCGGTGATGTCACCACAGCCCAGTACTGTTCCTGCTGTCATTACAGCATTTTAACATTTATTTATTTATTTTGGTTGCACGGGGTCATTGTTGCTGTGTGTGGGCTTTCTCGAGGAAGAGTAGTTGGGGGTATTCTTCCTAGTAGTGCACGGGATTCTCATTGCGTGGCTTCGCTAGATGCAGAGTAGAGGCTCTAGGCAGGCAGGGGTCAGTGAGTGTGGCATGTGGGCTCAGTAGTTGTGGCTCCCAGGCTTTTTGCTTGGTGGCATGTGGAATTCTCCAGAACCAGAGGTCAAACCCGTGTCTCCTGCACTGGCAGGCAGATCCTGTCCACTGCACCACCAGGCAGAGCCCTGCTGCAGTATTTAAGGCTTCATTCAGGGCCGACCAAGAGACTTACTCCCTCCGGGTACAGTTTCGTCATTTGCCTGCAGAAAAAGGGGTCTGGGCTCAGACCACTTTGCCTGCCGGCCCCCCTGCCACCAGCCAATTCCCCCCAAAGCCACCCACCACCATTTCTCTCTGCAGCCTCCCGCGTGGTGGGGGTTCCACTCACCGTGCTTTTGTGGAGGAGGAATCGATGGAGATTTGAGTTTTCCCCTGGAGACGCTAGGAAGACAGTTTGTCTCAGCCTAACACTAAGGCCCAGCTCCACATTTATGGCTGTTTCTGTGGTTACCTTTCTTCGGGGATGTTTGGGGTGGGTGGTGATGGTAGAGGTGGGGGCGTGTGCATATCTGCTCTTCTAGAACCCAGATTTTCTGAAGCCACTGGCAGGGTGCCTTGGGAGGCACAGACCCCCATTTTTGCCTGCTAGCTGCTCACCACACGGCAGGCAGATGGGAAAGTCTGCAGGAAACACGGGTCCACTTCCCCCTGAGACCTAGGGACTCAGCCCAGAGGATGAGATGGGAACTAAGCCCTTCTTCAGCAGAGACCGAAGACCCACAGAATGTCAGGGAGGGAGGGGCCAGAAGAAGCCTGCTCCTGTCCATTTTACAGGTGGGGAAACCGAGGCTGAAGGAGTCCAAGTTAAGTCAGTGGAAGTCACTCAGTCGTGTCCGACTCTTTGTGACCCCATGGACTGTACAGTCCATAGAATTCTCCAGGCCAGAATACTGGAGTGTGTAGGGTTCCCTTCTCGAGGGGACCTTCCCCACCCAGGGATCAAACCCAGGTCTCCCGCATTGTGGGCAGATTCTTTACCAGCTGAGCCACAAGGGAAGCCCAAGAATACTGGAGTGGGGTAGCCTTTCCCTTCCCCAGGGGATCTTCCCAACCTAGGGATCAAACCCAGGTATCCCACACTGCAGGCGGATTCTTTACAAACTGAGCTATCAAGGAAGCCCTTCTACATATAATGGAATAGTATTCAGCTTTAATATGGAAGGAAATCATGTCACATACTCCAACGTGGATGAACCTCGAGGATGTTATACTAAATGAAATAAGTGAAAGTCGCTCAGTCCTGTCCAACCCTTTGTGACCCCTAGTCCATGGAATTCTCCAGGCCAGAATACTGGAGTGGGTAGCCTTTCCCTTCTCCGGGGGATCTTCCCAACCCAGGGATCGAACCTAGGTCTCCCGCACTGCAGGCGGATTCTTTTACCAGCTGAGACACCAGGGAAGCCGGAAGGAGTCCAAGGGACCTGTCCAAACGGCCTCAAGTCAGCAAAGGCCACCAGAACTGGAACCCAGGCCTCCCTCCACCAGGCCCCCGGGCTCCTTCCCTGAACCACACGCGGGAAGGTTGGGGCCATCTGCTTACAGGACGGGCAGCGGGGTGGTACCAGAAAGGGTCTGGCCGGCGGCCTGGGGCGACTTGAGAGGCTTCTTCCCCCTCCCGGGCCACCGGGGCCGCACTTCCTGGCACAGAACCCGAGAGGACGCGGGGCGGGCCTCTCCCGGGCACCGCCCCACAGACCTCTCCCAGACTCTCAGGCCAGGGGCCAAAGGTTAGGAAGGCGGAGCTGGCGCTTGGTTCCGCCCCCTACCTCGAGATCCACGCGGGGCGGCAGGGGGCCGGCGTGGAGAGGGCGAGGGCGGGGCGCGGCAGGGTCAGAAGGGGGCGGGGTTAGAGCCGGGGGTGGGACCAACGTGAGTTGGTGGGCGGGGTTAAAGGGAGGGGCGTGGTCTAGCGTGGGCGGGTCTGCAGGAAACTTGAGCTCGCGCCCCGCCTCCGGCCCCCGCCTCCGGGCCCCGCCTTCGCGTCCCCTTCCTTCCCGGGGCTGGCGGGCGGGCCGCGGCGACTGCAGGCGGCGGACTGGCGGCTCTGCGGACGCGCGGGCGCCTCCACCTCGCTCCCTCCCTCTCTGCCGGCTTCCTTTTGTCTTTCCGCGAGGCGATGAGCGCAGGGCCAGCGCGGCGGCTGCGGGCGCACGGAGGCCCGCGCTCCTAGGCACCCCTTCCCCGGCCTCGGCGCACCAGTCCCTCGAAGCGGCCCGTGCCCGCCCCCAGTGCCGGCGGCGCGGAACTTGGGCTCGGGGAGCTCGACAGATCGCGCCCTGCGACGGAGCAGGTAGGAAAGGGGTTGGGCTGCGGGTAGTGCGGGGCGTGTGCTGCAGTCGGGCTCTCTGCGTGTGTGTGTGCTTGTGTGCGCGTGTGCCGGCGGTGATTGTGTTTTTCTGCGCTGTGGAGTTGTGGTTGACTGAGTACGGCGGTGTGTCCCTGGAATGGCGTGTCCTCGTGGAGCATCCGTGTGTGCAGCTGGAATCGGCACATTTGGGGGCTGCGTTTGTGGAATCGTGTCGGGGCGCAGTTGCTGGTGGGGACCGGTGCGCCGAGTGTGTATCGTGTGTGAGCGGCTGTGCGTGTCGGGGTGCGGATGGGCAAGGTGGGCGTGGGCGGAGCAGACCCGAGCGCAGAGCCGCGCGGGTCCCGGCCGGCCGGCGCAGTGCGGAGCTACAGACAGAGCAGGGATCCGAGGCCCGGGGTGGAGGGTGGCTAGCCCGGGCTTCGAGGACAGCCGGGCGACCCCCACCCGGGGACAGGTCCACGCGGTCCACGTGAGTCACCTGTGCACTCTGGCCAGGGGAAGGGGCCAGCTCGGCGGCCATCTGCTCGCCCCATCCCAGGCGGAGGGGCGGCGGGCAGAGCCCTGAGGCGGAGTTAGGAGCCGGGGCATCGCGGGGACTCGCGCCCGCGCCACCTGTGCCAGATACGCCACCATCCCGGATCGCGGTTTTCTTATAGAATGGGGACAGTTCCCCCCTCCCTCGGGGTCTGTCGTGACGGTTAAAATGAGAAACACTGTAGCTCTCTCGCGTTCGGCCGAGTGCCGGGCACACAGTAGGTGTTATGTTAACTGGATTAGCGTCTCACTTAAAAAAAATCCTTTCTTTCCCCCTTTATCGTGGGAGAGGCTCCTGTTCCACACACCCCCACCCCCGCCCCGTGTGTCGTGTGCTTCTCCCGCCGCCCTAACTTAACCATGAAGCTCGGAGACCCAAGAAAGTTTAGGCGGCCGGCGGTGCCGTCTCCCCGCCGCTGCTCCGGTCCGGCGCCGCCTGGAAGGTGAAGGAGCGCGCAGCGCCGGGCGCCCGCCCTTCTCCAGCCGCTAAGCCTGGCGCGCCCGAGCGGGGGTCCCTCTCCTGGCCGAAAGCAGAGGCTGCGGGAGTCGGGAGCCCTTTTGTTCAACAAGTGCCTACTCCCCGGGGGCGTGCGGATCTGCCATCTGGGAGCCCAGCGGTGAGAAAGTGGTACTCGCCGCAGAGACGCATCTCGGGCTCCCGGGGCACCCCTGACCAGGCCTGGTCACGCGGAAGGCTGCCCCCTTTTCCTCCCCGCCAACATCCACTCCCCCCTAGAGGAGCATGATTGTCAGGATGGCGAGTCCTGCCTTGAGCGCTGGCATCGAACGCCCTACGTTCTCCACCCCCCCCAACCCCCCAATCCCTTCTCCCTTTGATCAGCCTTGTGCAGGAAGCTGAGGGTCTGCGTGGGACTCTTTTCTCCTAGTCCTACGCCTTAATTTTTAATGTTTAGTGTCAAACCTGGTGCTCATTGAACTGCAGTGACTGTGCACGCAGTTCTAACCAGCATTCGCTTTCAGGCGGAGTCCGGCCAGCCACACCAGAGCGCTTGCTCAGACCCAGCACGGCCAGCTGGCCAGGGCTGCACTGCCGCCTGCCTTCTGCCATAGCCCGGGATTCCTCCCTTTCATTTCTAGTTTCTTCCTCTCAGGACCCTTCTCAGACGGGGGAAAAAAAAAAAAACAACCCAAAATACAACTTTCACCAAGGGAGCAGCAGATCTCATGGTACATGTGGTTCTCAAAATGAAACACTGGCATGGAGTGGGCAGGGGCTGTTGCTTGGGTCCAGGTGCCTTTCCAACTGTCCAGTGCTCTTGGCTGGTGTTCTCAAGGAAGCTTCCGCAGGCTTCTATGACACAGGAGCAGAAGCCTCTGGCTCGGTTCCTTTGGTCTGCCTTCTGCTGGGACCCAAGCCGTGAGATCTCCACAGTGATTGCAGGCCAGGGGAACCGAATAATAAGCTAATTTGTCATCCTCAGTTGGTGTCAGGAGCACACTTAGAATGCAACCTGCTTTTTGTGTTTCCATAAAAAGATTTTATATCCTGGAGGAGAAGAAGACTCTTGATCTGTATCCTATTCTCATCCCCATAATCAGATTTCAACAATAATATTAAAAAAAAAAAAAATCAGCCTGACTTTGTCTGCTTAAAAGACAGACCAAAAGCTGGGATTTCGCCCTCCCCCTAGTTAAAACCAGCCCTTTGTCTTAAGGAAAACAGTGTTATGGACTTAGATCTATTTCTGTTTCACTTTTGAAAGCGCCTGTAATTACTGAGCTCTTGAGGTTTTATTGGATAATGTGTTGGAAGGAAGGGCTAGGGATTCTGCCTCTCGCTTGCCATGGGATGTGGTGCCTTGTTCTCGCCTTGCCTGCTTCATTTGTGTTCCGATTTTTGTAAGTTGGTAAGCATACGTCAATGTGTGATAATAATTTGGGAGACCTGGCTTTGGGAGTCAGATGCCCAGAAGAACAGAGATTTGCCCCAACACTAGCCAATGACCCACTCGTTTTCAACAAGCCCTTCTCGAGAGATACTCCAACACAAATAAAAAGCTTGAACAAATTCCTTTAGGATTTCTCCTAAAGTCCCTTTCTGGCTGCAGGGCTGTGCAGAATTAGAAAAACAGAAGGTCAACGAGTGGGATCTCATTGGCCCACACTCCCGAGCCTGGGCCTTGCACTCACCAAGCCCCCTTTCTACCTGGAGCTCCTGTGGCATTTCGTCTGGTGCAGAGGTAGGGCTGTCATCCAGGGCTTGCAACTCTTGCCCTCAGGGCTCCGCACACATAATTTCAACATTCACATGAAATACGATGGTGAGTGTTTGTGCATCGGAGTAGTCTGTCTTCCCCTTCCTCCAACAGGCCTTCCCCCAAACTTACTTAGGATAAGAACTTGCCTTGCCCCTTTGGAAGTGGTGAAGTGCCATGGTCTGATAATCCAGGATACTAAATTAATAAGGAGCCCCAGAGTTTGTTTGGCACTAGAGAGTAAGCCTCTCGGCGGCTGACATTTTATCTAGGTTGAGGATTGGATTTGTATGAGAATTTAGCGTTCCAGGAAGACCTAAACTGTGCTTGTTTGTTGCAGGTTGATGCTTCCAGTTTATGAGTTGCCAGCCCAGACTTGATGGGGGATTATGTGTGTTTTGCTAGTTTGTCAGCCCCTGATGTCATTGTGCTGGGGAAAGAGAGCCCTTGGAGGCTTAATCATACTCTACCTTGGGACTCACCATCCTCCTGTAGTCTCGTTGGATTCCTTGTATGTTTTCATGCCCACCTGCAAGGCTGCACATCTGTGCATCTCGTGTGGGTCTTATCCTCTTCCCTTTAGGCTCAGTTTCCAATCAGGATGACGGAGGGTAATCATGTATGGAGACAGCAGAGCGGACTTAGGGTCTTTCGGTGCCACTTGCCCCATGGAAAAAAACTCTTTCAAATCACTTTTCACCAAAAAGAAGAAAAAAAAAATGCGTTGAAATCTACTCATGTGGATTTCATGTAACTTCAGGTAATCCATACGGTTTGACAGGTGGAACATGTATTAGGCACTGAGCAAGGTGCAAGTCTAAAGAATTTTTTAAAAAATTATCTGAAAAGCCCAGTGAATCCTTTCAGAGAACCTTGCCTTGGCCATGCCGTTTCAAGTCAAATTGAATTTCAGAGGCAAAGCTTCACATCTTGGTGTTCGTGACACGTGACTAAGTAAAGACACTGTCTGAAAGGCCTCAGGCTCCCTCCCCTGCTGCATTGGGGTGGCCAAGATGCTTTCTTTTTGCCTTTTCATTTTCCTTCAGAGGGGCTTCCCTGGTAGCTCAGCTGGTAAAGAATCTGCCTGCAATGCAGGAGACCCTGGTTCGATCCCTGGGTCGGGAAGATCCCCGGGAGAAGGATTAGGCTACCCACTCCAGTATTCTTTTATTTTTTTCCCACTCTAGTATTCTTGCCTGGAGAAGCTCATGGACAGAGGAGCCTGGCAGGCTACAATCCATAGGGTCGCAAAGAGTCGGACACAACTGAGTGACTTTCACTTGCTGTACTTACATTCCTTCATAAGCTCAGTCACCCCTCACCCCCACCCCCACTTGCTAATCCTGCTGCTGTGTTTTCTGGGTATTTGTTTCTTTTTAGTTTCAGGTACAACCCAGGTTGGCAGGAAGCCAGGAGACTGGGGTAGGCCTGCCTCATTAGATGAGAAGTCTTCTTTGAGGAGCTAGTGATGGGTTTTTGACCCTTGGCTAAGAAACACTCAGGATTGTTCAACTCTTACTCCTTGGATAAAGCCACCATGATCCTGGACGCAGGAAGAAAGTTTTGGGGTATGTGTCGTTCCTCTTAGGGAAGTCTTTCCCGATTGCCTGAATACCCTGTTGTCCTAGCTAGTCTTCCCTTGCCGTGTGTCCCCTTCAGCAAGGGAGGTGTCCCCTTGGTTGGGCACCTGCTGTCGCCTCGGTGAGCTCTCCACCGCTCTGACCGAATGCTGTTGCGTGTGCTGCGCACTTCATTGTTGTTCAGTCGCCAAGTCATGCCTGACTCTTTGCAACCCCATGGGCTGCAGCACACCAAGCCTCCCTGTCCCTCACCATCTCCAGGTGTTTGCCCAAGTTCATGAGCTTGATGCCATCCAACCATCTTGTCCTCTGTCGTCCCCTTCTCCTCCTGCCTTCAATCTTTCCCAGCATCAGAGTCTTAACCAATGAGTCAGCTCTTCACATCAGGTGGCCAAAGTATTGGAGCTTCAGCATCAGTCCTTCCAGTGAGTATTCAGGGTTGGTTTCCTTTAGGATAGACTGGTTTGAAGTGCTCCATGCTACCCTACATCACAGCAGAGCCTAGAGTCCCTCCACACCTCCCACCCCACCCTGTGTTTCTGGGTCCTTCTCCCTTCTTTCTCCACCCATCTAATGTCTCTGCCCCCTGTTGCCCCATCCCTCTCCCCAGCCCCATGCCTCTTCTTCCCAACACCCAGCCAAGCCTCATCCC